GATTTGGATATGGCAGCCCTGCTAATATAGCCCAGTATGCTTTTGTGTATGTGTTTTTGTTTGGAGGGAGAAAGGGTTGGTGGGGGAGGAGCTTGGTAATAAAAGCACACTGTTTCCTCATTCAGCTTGTGTCCACTGACTCCAGGTCCTTCTCTATAGTACTACAGCCTTACTAGTCATTCTCCCATCCGTGCACTTCTCTATCGAATGTCATTCAAATTAATTTCACAACATTTTTCCAGTTTTATCAAGGTCATTCTGAATTCTAATCCTGTTCTCCAAAGGATCTGCAACCCCACCCAGCCTGGTGTCATCTCCAAATTTGCTAAGTATCACTAAATCTTATTCTCCAAGTTATTAATGAAGAATAGATGATTCTATCTTTTGTGATGGTCATATTACAGTTCCTTGTTTGTAAATTTGATTGACAGAAAATAAGACTAAGACTTGCTGGGATTTTGTAAAGATATTCACAGAGAAAATTCTCAAGTGCAAATAAGTTAACAAGGTTCTTTGGGTAGATGTGATTATCTTTTATTAGACCAACTAAATAGTTGGAAAAATTGTGCCCAAAAGCTTGTGAAGAACAAACACCCTTCTTCAGGTATATAGAGCGTCTGCTAGTGAATTGTGTACTCTCCTGGGCAGAATAAAAGCCAAAATGCAGGTCTGTGAAAATGCAAGTGCCTGGCAGTAAGGATCAGAGGGATAGAAGACGATAGGTGTGAGACAGGTGGAGGATGGGGGAAGGGAGAATGTAGAACTGGTGATAGAAGAATGTAGCTGGTAAAAATGCAGACAGGTTACCTTGGGTTATCAGATAGCAGGCAGGTTATAATGTGCCAGAAATCCAATGTCTGTTTAGTCCATGATTTTTTTTTTTTTTTTTTTTATATATCCAGTAGATTTATGAAGTGAAGTTCATAGGCTCATCTGCAGAAGGTGTTTTGTAAATTCCCCTTGAGGATTAGAACTGAGAGATTGAAAAGAGAGTATTTTTCTTGGGGGAAGTGTGCCCCCACAGGTAATTGGGTATTTTTATCTTTGATAGATTTTTGGTGTGTATTCATTCTGGTACACAGTTGCTGTTTGGTTTCTCCTACATATTTTCTATCAGGGCATGTAGTTCATTGGATGAGATGTATTACATTTCTGGCGGCGCAGGTGTAAGATCTAGTAATGGTGATGGTTCTGTTATGGGGTGTAGTTATTTTGGGAGTGGTGAAGAGATGTTGGCATGTTTTACATTTTTTGTCTTGGCCTGGTCTGGATTCATTGAGTGTGTTTTGGGCCATAGGAAATCTGCTTCTGATGATGAGGTTGGTGAGGTTCAGTGGAGGGTGAGATTCAGACTATTTACAGCCACTTTACCTTGCATACAGTGGGTGGTGGGGATGAGGATTTCAGGCACAGTGAGTACTTTGTGGACAAACCAGAGACAAAATTCACTGTACTAGCTGTTCATCAGGCAGTTACGAAGGGCACGCTTACAACAGTGTTTAAGAGTACAGGCAGTCCTCGACTTACGGCATTTCGACTTACAGCGATTTGTGCTTGCGGTGCTCCACTGTTTACACCCATGTTATTACTTACGCCGCTGGATCCTCACATGGCACTACAGGGAAATTTACAATGAGAAAAAGAGGGCAGCAAAACAAACATCCCTGGATCAGTTTCTCAAAAAGCCATCAAGAATCTACAGAGAATGTTGTAAGTATCTGATTGGCTGAGTCATTTTTAAGATTATTTTGTTTTTCTGTCTTAAAGTCTAGGGACCCTATCAAGTTGGATGATCTGAAGGCAGAGGTATCACCACGGATATCAGCAGAAGATCTGATTGATTTATGTGAACTGACTGGACCCAGCCATTTCAAAACACCTACCAAAAAAGCCAAATCTAGCAAGCCAAAACTGCTGGTGGTTGATATCCGTAACAGCGAAGAGTATCCTTCATGTCTAAGGCCGTATTTTCAATCCTTTTTTGACTGACCTGGCTTATTTTGATTGCTAGTAATGTGGTGGTAGAATGGTAAATAATCTAAATGACTAGATGTACAGTAGATTTACTAAATCTAGCATTGATAATCAAAGCTCTTCCTCTGTGGAAAAGAGGGAGATAAATTCCCCATAAATCTGTTTCTTTCTTTCTGTCTAAAGAATGGTTACAGTTAGTTCAGTTTACACTAGCTCAGCACAGGTGACCTTAAATCTCAGGGCATTTGTAGACCATCCTGAATGTAATGAAACGTTGGATTAGTGTAAAGCTGACACAGCTGACTTTCAGCCAGTTGCTTCTGGCTGACCTTTTCCTTTCCCAACATTGTGATGGGAGTTGTTTTGGAAGTGGGACTTTGCAGAAGTCTGAGATGATAAAAGAAAAATGGAAAAGAGGACTAGTATACCATCCCATTTGAAAAAAGGTTGCCCAGGTGGTGCATTCTAGCAGCCACCAGTTAAGGTACCTAGAGGTCCATTTTTAAATTATGCAAGAAGGCTGTCCCAACCTCAGAGCTTTTGTGCAATCAGAAGACACACTAAGGTGGCTGAAAGCTACCTTTTCCTTGGTATGGCTGAGGAACAAATCCTATCTTTCTTTAAATTGTCATTCAAACTTGTTTTTCCATGCAGCATAACTTCAGGTATTTTTGTTGGGTTTCTTTCCATTTCACAGTCACATGAGTTTTTTCCAGATGAGCTCCAACCTGGTGCCATGTTGTTCATAAATCACAAGATATTATTGGTTGTAGCTTCATCTCATAATGAGTTTTTCAAAACGTAGTTAATTACACTTGAGCCATTTTTTTAAATTGCTTCTTTCAAAAGAGCAAAGTCCATACAGGCTACAACCTCTTGAAGGATCTAATTCCCTAATTTTGGTGTGTGACAAGATATAATGTCACCCTGATCATAAGTTCCTATTTATGTAATGCCAGCAAACAATGGCTCATGATAGTATGGCAGGTCATAAATTAATAACCATTTTACAGTAGTTGAGACATGTACAGAATTAATGTATTTTACAAGTATCTATTTTTTCTACGTAGGATGTACTGAGTATATGCATTTGAGAGAAGAGCTTTGGACTTCAAATTTCTATAAAATTTACTGAGGTTTGTTTTAAGTGTAACACCCCGCTGCGGGGTCATAACCACTGCCAGTGGCAATTTGTGGCAGCTAGACCCATCCTTTTGGTTCCTTTGGGCTAACAAGGAACCTCAGGAGGATCCCACTATGGGGATACCTCCTGTAGCAGCACTCTGACAGAATAGGTAGCTCTTTACAATAGTTATTACGTACATATTAATTTATATTACGATATTTACATGCATAATACATGTATTTACACTTTTATATATATATTGCTCTCTATTCTGAGGTTTAATTCGTAACTCAGTTAACATGGGATAAAACTAATGAACTCAGTGCTTATAAATATATATATAACTGTGTAACAATTTATGTACACGTATACGTAGGTGATCACACCCCCAGTGGAGCAACAGTAGGTCCATTCCCCATACAGTAAGGCAACCTTACATGCATCCAAAGCCCGAAAGAACCAAAACACAAACACCTCAATTTTTGTTAAAAATTATACAGTCCTGGTAGGTCTGATGTAGACACCCAAAATAAGTCTTTTGGTTGACTACTGTTGTCTTGACATCACCTTAGTTCAGGCAAGAGTAATCAGTCAGGTGTGGGTGCGATGGGAGCTCCCTCAATGGCCCTGGGGCTCTACACCTGCTGACGGCTGGTGCCCTTGCTTGACCTCCTGTAATACATAAACAACCTCCTCCCCATGACATCCCTTTTTGCCCCTCAGACAGGGCTAGTGGGTCTACTTTCCTGGAGGCTAACTCACTCAAGGTCCCCCACGTGAGAGTCCACTACAAGAGGAGAGGGCTATGCCTACTCACCAACTCCCAGCCCCGGGTGCTTCCCTATCCCTTGCTGTCCCCTGCAATGAAATTGTAGATGGCCACAAGATCACCTCTCATCCTTCTCTTATGAAGGCTGAAGAGATCCAGGTCCTTCAATCTCTCCTCATAGGGCCTTACCTGCAAACCCTTAACCATACAAGTGGCCCTCCTCTGGACCCTCTCAAGGTTATCCACATCCCTCTTGAAGTATGGCGCCCAAAACTGGATGCAGTATTCCAGCTGCGGCCTCACCAGTGCTGCATAGAGGGGAAGTATCACCTCCCTGGATCCTGTTGGTGATTCACCTGCTTCCCTCACTCACTGCTCTGGCCCCCCAGCGAGATCCCTACAGTCTCCTCACTGTAGTTTGGGCCACCCTTCTGTACTAGACCCTGGTGGTCACCCCTCCTGGCTACAGAGCTCTGGGGCTCTGAAAGAGACTCTGTTTCCAGGGCCTGAAGGCAGAATTGCTCCAAGCCTTTTGTTCTGGTGTCCTCAAGGGGGCAAAGAAAATCTCCTAGGCTCAGCCTAGTTTTGGCTCACCATGGGACACACCCCCTACAGGTGAGTATCCCTTCTGTTTCAGTCTGTTACCTAAGTAAGTATGGAAGCCTAGAGCAGGCTTGTTAGAAAGTATCTTGTGTTTGTTTAACCAAAACCAAAATTTCCATCCAGCAGTGGATCAGTATTAACTATCAGGTCTTCATATGTACCCTGGATGGTTTTTCTACTGAGCTCTTATCAGATGCCTTAATTTTTATAAATTTCTTCTTAACCAAATTATTTGGTGATTTACATCTTGATAAATCCTGATTTAAGAGGAATTGTAAGTCTGCCAAGAAGCAGTACTAAAATATTTTTTCTGTATTTAGATATGCTGTTTACTTCAAGACATAACAAGGTAGAATTTGGAGAGCATTTTAATTTACAGTGTATGTTAGCAAAACGCATAAGTCATTGTTACAAACGATATTGTCAATCTCTGGAAATATGCCAACGCTTGAACCAGCCACATGATCTGCAGTACTGATAAAACGAAGATAGTCAAAGCTCCAAGCCGGTGTAATATTTTTCCCTTTTGTTTGTTTAACCTCATGCATCAGTTGAGGTTTCCAGCTAGTTGCAGGCTCAGATAGCTGAAAAGTTTGTTCATTATCTAGAGTTCAGTGTCTTACTTTCCTCTTGGAATTTAGATTGACCTTTTCTATAAATAAAATTTAAAATCAAAGTAAGGAAGTCTTTTAATTTGGTCTTCACTATTCTTTATCATGTTCCTAAACTATTTTGTGGGAGATAATTACCTTATGAACAGGAGTGTACCTGCCAAATAAGAAGAAATGAGAATCAAACCTGTAAAAGGTTCTTTTGTATCACCTAGAAATCTCTAATACTATGTTCAATAGTAAGTTTAAATATGCAAGTGAAATTCTGTTGGTCTGTTTAATTTGGCTCTCCAGTAACCAAAGGAGCCCAATAGGAACACAGGCGATATAAAATGCTTATAATACATTTATTTCTACAGGCATTTCTATTGCTTATGTACAACAATGGGTTTCTTGTATGTCAGTTGTGAAAACAAAGTATTTTTAAATGTCTATATAGCTTTCTCAAGACTTCATTATTAGCTAGGTAGGCTGACACCATTTGGCTGCCATGAAACAATATGTGATGTTAAGGGCAAGCCCTTGTCTACATTGCAGAGTTCTCAACAGAATTTAAGTAATTTTGTTATTGGCAAACTTGCCAGAGAAGAATCATAAATTAGAAGTGACAGTATAGTCCAGTTTCTACTGATGATAATGTTTTCAGGTCGGAGTTTTGAGACAGATTAATGAATGGGGTAGTATGGGAAGGAGCTGCTTAATAGGTTTTATCATCTCTATGGATAAATAGCAGACTTAAGATTTTGAAAAATGATGAATGGTCCAGCTTTGAAAGGGTGCTTGTATTGACAGTAAGATATCATACTGGGTGAGTTGATCTTTTACTTGGAAACATGCCAACATGGTGCCCATTTTTAAGAAGGGGAGAAGGGATGTGCTGGGTAACTTTCGGCCAGTCAGTCTTACCTCTGTCCTTGGGAAAACGCTGGAAAAAATCATTAAAGAGCGCATTTGTGAAGGCCTAGCAGAGGAAATGATGCTGAAAGGAAACCAGCACAGGTTTGTCACAGGTAGATCCTGCCTGACGAACCTTGTGGCTTTTTATGGGTCACACACTGCTTTGACACAGGAGCTGAGGCTGATGTCATCTACCTGGACTTTAAGAAGGCCTTCAATACTGTTTCATATCCTATTCTCATAAGGAAGCTAACAGGCTGTGGAATGGAGACTTGCACAGTCAGGTGGGTGGCTAACTGACTTAAGGACTGCACCCAGAGAGTGGTGGTGGATGGGTCGTTTTCGACCTGGAAGGAAGTGGGCAGTAGTGTTCCTCAGGGGTCGGTCCTCAGACCGATGTTATTTAATATCTTCATCAGCGATTTGGACGAGGGTGTGGAGAGCACCCTGTCCAAGTTCACAGATAACCCCAAGTTTTGGGGCAAAGTTAACACACCAGAGGGCAGAGAGTGGATACAGGCTGATCTGGACAGGTTGGGGCAATGGAAAGGACAAAACAGGATGCAGTTCAACAAAGACAAATGCAAGGTACTCCACCTAGGGCAAGGTACCCAGCACACCTATAGGCTGGTGGATGACCTCCTCATCAGCTCAGTGGCTGAGAGGGATCTTGGAGTCATAGTTGACTCCAAGATGAACATGAGTTGACAGTGTAACAAAGCCATCAACAAAGCCAGTCACACCTTATCGTTCATTAGCAGATGCATGACAAACAGATCGAGGGAGGTGATACTCCCCCTCTATGCAGCATTGGTCAAGCCTCAGTTGGAGTACTGTGTCTGGTTTCGGAGTATTGCACTTCAAGAGGGATGCAGAGAATCTGGAGAGGGTCCAGAGGAGGGCCACTTATATGATTAGTGGCCTCTGTACAAAACCCTACAAGGGGAGGTTGAGAGATCTGGA